CTCAGTTTTCCTCTTTCTCCCTCTCTTCCTCCTTTCTGGAATGAGTTGAGCTAGCCCCTAGTCAGAGTATCTTCAGACCCTCCTAGAGGAGGGGGAGAGAAAGTGGCCCTCAGAGGCATGAGTCTCTTGGGGGAGGGGACTAAGAGAGGGCTGTCCCCACAGCAGCAGGGCAAAATGGCTGAGCTTCCCTTGAGCCTCAGAAATGAATTGCCAGGCAGGCGGCAAACAAAGAAAGCTCTCTGTCTCCAGCCAAGCGCTGGCTCAGTGGCCAGTGCTAGAGGACAAACAGTGAGTCCTAGGCAGTGAGGCACAGGCCAGCCTGTCCCCAGAGCCTCTGCAGAGTGGGGTTCCCTAAGAACTCACAGGAGAGAGACAGCCACCACTGTGAGAAAAAAAAAAAAAGCAGGAATGGTCATTCCTCTAGGGTTCCACATTTGGTGTGAAATCCAGTTGATCCTACTGAAAGATACACAGTAACTCCTTCACTTCCAGGAGCCAGCAGTGAAGGCTATGGGTTTGTTTACACATGGCCCAGCACCCAGCAGGAACTTCATGTGTGTCAGAACAAACCCTGCCTGGGTGGAAGGTGATGGGACCTGCCTGTATATCTACCTGTGTCATTGAAGCAGGAAGGCTGTAAAACATGGCTTTGAATCCATGACCAGGAATGAGTGAATAAGTCCAGGGTAAGGGTTTGCTTTGGGCTGGGCACTGCCATTTCTTGACCAAGTTCTAGTTCCCCACTGAAAGGAAGAAATGGAGTGTTGAAACCTTTCAATGCACCCAGCTTGTAATTCCTGACCTCACTTTGTACAGCAGGGACAAATCTAATCCACACTTCAGAAGTGAGGAGAGTAGGATACAGAGAGGAAAAGTGATGTGCCCAAGGTCACACAGCAAGCAAGAGGCAGGGCAAGGATTTGATTCCCAAGCAAGATTGCCATATTGTACTTCTCTGGACATCAGTTTTTACATCTGTGGAGTAGTCAAGTGATGGGCACTGAAGACAGGGTTCCATGGTGAGTCCTCTTGAACCTGCTGTCAGCATCATGGCTGGTCCTCTCCCTTCCCGGCATGTGATAGGTTCAGAGAAGCGTTAAATAAAACAGCAATGTCAGGCTCACACTAAGCCATCCCTAGAAGTGGGTTTGAGCTGCACAGCTAAGATGGAGATGTCTCCTGTCTTTTGGAATTTGAAGATGTTTCTTCCTTCCTGCCTCTTGCCTAGGTTGGATCCCAGGCCATGAGTTGGCCCCAGTAAATCCAGCCTGGCCCACCATTTAGAACTTTCTGCATCCAGAAGGGCCCCCACCTTGACCTTGAAAGCAGGCAGGATGCCAAAGCCCATTCCCATTGCTTGCCCCATGGCATGCCAGGTGGTCCCTTAACCCAAGCTACATTGACCCAGCACCCCTCTCCCTTAGCTTGCACTCCCAAAGCCAAACTCAGAAAGAGCACCCCCTTGTCACCTTGCCTCACATGCCAAATGGAAACATGACAATAGGTCTGTCTTTTCCCACGTCGGAGCTGCCCCTTGCCCTCAACCGTGTGATGTCCCCAAACTTCTTTGCTTGGAGAATGGGGGGTAGCCTCCCACTAGAATGAAAATTACTTTGAAATGACTTCCAATGACCTTGAAAAGACTTCAGTTGCACTGAACAGCTCCTCCTCCAGCTGATGAGATCACCAACGTCAGCTGCCCCAGGGTTTGGTTTAGAAGCAGCCTAGGTGGCCCTTTTATCAGCTTTGCCCTATTCTCTGAAGGTCGCTGTGATGTAAGGGGAGGAGGTAGACCCCCTGAGAGGGAAAAGACTGGGCATCCAGATGCAAATCCCAAAATAAGGCATTCTGGGGAGATGTGTTTCGGTGGACCCAGCACTGCCATCTACTCCAGATCCACCTGGAGCCCTCGGAGGCAGAGGGCAGAGGGTGTGGAGATGGAGGGGAGCAAAGACAGAGCAGAGACCAGAGTTTCCAGGCACAGACAGTAGGTGTGAACACAACTTGTGATCCTTGAGAGCAGACCCAGGATTCAGACATAACAGAGGAACAATCCCCACATTGGTATTGCTAGTTATAGCGACAGCTGTTCCTTCTTGCATGTTGATAGTACTGGGGAATGTGCTGTGTGCTGTGCTTTTAATTCTCACAAGTCCCCCATGAGGTGTGTAATAGAACTGCCCCCGGCAGATGGGCAAGCAGAGGGAGAAGAGTAAATGGCTCAAACTCAGCCATAACTTCGCTCCTGGAAATCCCTGCTGCTGAAAAACCTGGGTACAGTGCACTGAAGAAGCTGCAGGGTCCCTTGATTGTCCCATCAACTGAGCTTTGCCACAGCTCAGGAAGGCGAGGCCGTAAGGCAGCAACTGTTGACTAACAGGGGACGCTGATATCAGAACCCAGATTCAAACTGAGGTTACCATCCTGTTCCAACATATCTGTGACCTGCATCTGGACTTCATTTAAAGCTGGTAATGGTGGTGTGCACCCAGCTACCACCTTTCCTTAAGTCCCCGGTATCCCTCTATTTATCTCCACTACCTCCCTGCTCAGGAAACCATTGAGAGCACCCCAACAAAGCCATCAGCTCCGTTTACAGTGATCTGACATGACACGAAATGTGGCATCTGATTCAATGTGAGCTGCCTGCAGCAAATGGCCTTCTATTTTTACATTTCTCACAAATTGGAAATTACAAGGAGGCCATGTCTTGGAGAGTGATTGGTGGTGGCACTCTGGAGGCGGGGGTTGTGCAGCTGGGTGGAACAGAGCACATTAGGGTGCTGGGGCCCCTCAAGTGGGAAAGGGGCCCAGGGTTTCAGGAGCTGGGTGCAGTCCTGGTGCCCAGTGAGGTAGGGAAGGCAGGAATTGGTGGCTGCCAGGGAGACTGGCCTGGGAGACAGGTGTTCTGCTGTCAGTTGCCTGGTGTCTGAAAGTGTTCCATGCCAGGTCTTGAGATAGCTGAGCTCTGGTCAGAGGGACATTCAAGGTCAGAGATGCCCTGGAAGGCACTGGTAGCAGTTGCTTCCCTGACTTCACTGTTGAGAAGAGCAGAGCGTGTGCAGAGAGAGAGCAGCTGCCGCACGGAGATGAGCGAAGACATTTGGTGTCAGGGTTGCGGTTGGCTGCAAATCGGTGTTGACCACATGACTCCTGGTTATCAGCACTGCACTTTGCAGTTTGCAGACCATGTCCTTGCCAGTAGGATGGGCAGTATTCTGGGGAAGGAAAGTCTGATCCTTGACAAGACTCTACCATTAAGCAAAGGGAAATGTGCTTTATGCTAGTTTTCTGAAAAGCCCAAATCAGAATGACCTTGACCTAAATGAGATCTCTCTGTGTGAGGGAGTAAATTTCTGTTTTCAGTGCTTTTTAGTTGCAGTTGGGACCTCCAAATGAAGATGTGGTTATTATTATTATGACCTTTATTATCCATCTTTGGGGGAAACTGAGGCTAGAGAGCCCCGAGCCCCTGTCCCCTGGATGTGGGACCCTTTTACTACTGAATGTTTCTTCTTGAACTGTAGCATGGAGGAGTACTATGCTGGCAGGAGGAAGACCCATAGCACCCTGGGGATTAAGATTGGTGGGTGGCATGGGTGAGCTCAGCTCAGAGGCTGAAGTGTAAGGGCCCCCCTCCCTGCATTTGTTTGAGCCTTTTCTGGGCTCTGGACAGGGATTGTCATTGTCTTGGTCCCACCAAGAGTTTAGGGTTCCAAAGTGTGAGACTTCGGCCCCCAGTAGTTGGCACAGTGGGAGGGAAGGAGAGATGGTTGTTCTCAGACATGCCTGCATGGTATAGGCATGCTCTTCTAGAGGAATGAGGTGAAATG